TCATGTCCTCCTCATGTCCTCCTCATGTCCTCCTCCTGTCCTCCTCGTGTCCTCCTCACGTCCTGTCCTGTCCTCCTCATGTCCTCTTCATGTCCTCCCTCTGATCTGGTTCTGGTTCTGAGTCCCACCGTAAACTCCAAACAGGACCGGCTCAGCTGATCCTGCTGGTTTAAAGAGAAAAACCTGAGTCAACATCCCCTCTCTGGAAGGACGGGCCGGTTCTGACTGAACACCAGAACCCCAGAGCGATATTGGACCTGACAGTCCATGCTGAGGCAATTTTCCAACATGGTTGACCAACAAAGTCCTATTGTTCTCCGCTCACGAGTCAGCGTTTTTCTGGACTGATGATTTCCCTTCAAAGTAAAACAGAAACTCATTTAAAAACCAGAACCAGAACCAGAACCAGAGCAGGAGGGGGTTCAGCTGAGAGGCCTCAGAGCTCTCACTGTCTGTGTCCCTGCAGTCAGGACTCAGGGCTCTAACCCTGTCTCCTTACAGTCAGGACTCAGGGCTCCATCCCTGTCTCCTTACAGTCAGGACTCAGGGTATAACTGCTGCCTAACAGTCAGGACTCAGGGTTTAACTCTGTCTCATTGCAGTCAGAATTCAGGGTTTAATTAAATCTGTCTTATGGAGACAGGGTAAAGCCCTGAGTCCTGACTGTCAGGAGTCAGAGTTAATCCCTGAGTCCTGACTGCAAGGAGACAGAGTTAAGCCCTGAGTCTTGACTGCAAGGAGACAGAGTTAAGCCCTGAGTCCTGACTGCAAGGAGACAGAGTTAAGCCCTGAGTCCTGACTATCAGGGCTTAACCCTTTCTCCTTGCAGTCAGAATTCAGGGTTTAATTAAATCTGGTTTAAGGAGACAGATTTAGGTCCCTGAGTCCTGACTGTAAGGAGACAGTGTTAAGCCCTGAGTTCTGACTGTAAGGAGACAGAGTTAATCTCTGAGTCCTGACTGTAAGGAGAGAGAGTTCAGCCCTGAGTCCTGACTGCAAGGAGACAGAGTTAAGCCCTGAGTCCTGACTATCAGGGCTTAACCCTTTCTCCTTGCAGTCAGAATTCAGGGTTTAATTAAATCTGGTTTAAGGAGACAGATTTAGGTCCCTGAGTCCTGACTATAAGGAGACAGAGTTAATCTCTGAGTCCTGACTGTAAGGAGAGAGAGTTCAGCCCTGAGTCCTGACTATCAGGGCTTAACTCTTTCTCCTTGCAGTCAGAATTCAGGGTTTAATTAAATCTGGTTTAAGGAGACAGATTTAGGTCCCTGAGTCCTGACTGTAAGGAGACAGTGTTAAGCCCTGAGTCCTGACTGTAAGGAGACAGTGTTAAGCCCTGAGTTCTGACTGTAAGGAGACAGAGTTAATCCCTGAGTTCTGACTGTAAGGAGACAGAGTTCAGCCCTGAGTCCTGACTATCAGGGCTTAACCCTTTCTCCTTGCAGTCAGAATTCAGGGTTTAATTAAATCTGGTTTAAGGAGACAGATTTAGGTCCCTGAGTCCTAACTGTAAGGAGACAGAGTTCAGCCCTGAGTCCTGACTATCAGGGCTTAACTCTTTCTCCTTGCAGTCAGAATTCAGGGCGTCTGACAACGTTTTCCTCCTAAAGCTGTTTTTGTGATGCTGCTCAGATCGAAAGCTCACGCTAGGCTGGAGTGGGGGGGCTGAGGTTGAGGAGGCGGGGCCTTAGGGGTGAGGGAGGGGTGGGGCTGAGCTCTGTGAAGCAGAGAGTCTGGACCAGGGTCAGAGACTCTGCAGTTATTACATGTCAGGAAATCAAGTCCTGAGACGCCGTTTGAGGCGGCGTGGTGGAAAGGTCAAAGGTCAGGAGGGGAAATGGAGCTGCGGTGGACCTCTACAGGAACCAGCTGCACCTCCAGAACCAGAACCTCACTGACGGACCAACAGTCCTCCCTCTGTGCGGCACGTTTGTGGCTCCCAGTCTTCCCAGTCTGTGTGTGTGTGTGTGTGTGTGCCTGTGTGTGTGTGTGTGTGTGTGTGTGTGAGAGAGAGAGAGGGAGGCGGGGGGCGGGGGGGTCGTGGTCGTTTGGAAGAAGACGTATGTAAACTCATTTCCAAACAAATGGGCCCGACTGCGCGGCAACAGGGAGAGGTGCCATAAGCGTCCGGCTCGCATAATGCCGCCATGAATCACGACCGAACGTGACCACACAAGCTCGCCGATGAATAGCACATGTCAGCCGCCACCGCCGCATATCATCAACAACAGCCACCGCCGACCACTGCAGGAAAACGCCACTCTGGAGTTTAGAGCCACAGATGCCCTGAGTTTACTCCTGAGTTTACAGGGACAGCCTGAATCAGCTCATACAGGGGTCCCTGGGGCCAACAGGGGGCCCCCCCAAGAGGACTTTTCACAGACCGGACCCTCGTGTTTACGAGTCTGAGCAGCCGAACGACAAATTCACGAAAACATTAACGACATTTTGCAAATCCAAGATGAAGAATTTAACAGTTCCGTTGATTTCCATTCATTTCAACAGTTTCTATTTCATCATGCTGAGTGCTTTTTACCGAACTGCCATTCATTTCCATCCATAAGTCAGACAAAAATAAAGTCAATGGGTGTATTTCAAACAAATATAACAAGAACATGACAGCGTTCATATCCGCACCAACAAGTCCCAGAAGAAATGGGTTTCAATGAGTAAAAATTCTCAAACTTTGTAATGTTTGAGTCTGTCTGCCGTTGACTTTTGTTCAGATCTGGGAAAACATGTTCAATAACTCATTAAACAGTTCCTGTTTCATCATGATGAATGCTTTTTGCCAAACTGCCATTCATTTCCATCCATAAGTAAGACAAAAATAAAAAGTCAATGGGTCAATTTTTAAAAATTGGTCAAACATGTAAAAGTGTTTCAGGTTTCAGTGATTCAGAAGATAGAAGTCAACGGACACATTTTGTTCAATTTCAGATGATGGTTAATAACATTCAGAATTATTTATCAGGTTTTCCGTTTATTTCCCCGAGCTCTAGATCATACTTCTATGTTTTGCAAACAGCCATTGATTTCCAATCACAATTAGACCAAATGTTAATTAATCTGTAAATTTAAGAAAATAAACACGTGTGTTTTGGTACCGTTTACTTTCTGATCATTTATTAGTAAAAATGGAAATCAATGAGCGTGTTGTCTGTTTATTTCTCAGATTTCACATTTTTCCTTTTTTACTTCCATTGACTTTTATTTTCCAAAAATAGAATTAAATTATGAAAACATCTTCAATCAACTTTCGAGTTCGAGATCTTTTAAGAGGTTTGTCACGACTGATACACAAAAGGACGGAAAAAGGATTACTAAGGATTTATTCAAGAAAACTTCAGTAAAAACTCACTTTGAAAACGTCCGAGAGAAAAATCCAGAAAAAGAAAAAAGAAGAAGAGGAGTAAAATCCAAAAAGAAGGTACAGGAGGGAAAAACACAGAGAGACTCAACAGGTGAGGCTGACGAGACACAGGTGAGACTCATGAGTGATAATAAAAAAACAAGAAGTAAACACCGAAAACTGAGTCAAGTAAATAAAGGACTGAAAACTCACAAGACTGGACTACAGGGGAACAGGAACTCAAAAAACCAAACCAGGAGAAAACTCAGTTAACAGAAAATCTCATGAATCCCTGGATTTCTTTTTAATATTGGACCAAATGGAGGTCAATGGGTACATTTGAAAACGGTCATCAAATAATGAAGTTAGAAACTAAGTGACCCTACTTTTCCGAAATAAAAGTCAATGTGCACTTTTTGAGTAGATCAGAAAATAATGTGAACGTGTCCGTTCTATAATTTGCTTCCATTGACTTCAGGTCGTCTGAAAGTTACTGGGTAACTTTTTGAGTTCAGAGTTTGATTCAAATTCAGTTTCATCGTCCTGAAGATTCAGTCTAATCCTCTTTAGTGAACCATTGACGTCCACGATTAAAACATTTTCAGTAAATGTTGTTGTCACACATTATAACCATTGACCGAAACAACATTTCTGTAAATGGACGTCAACGGTTCAACAAAGAGGATTAGACTGAATCTTCAGGACAATAACTTTCAGACGACCTGAAGTCAATGGAAACGAATTATAGAATATATTCAATGACATTGAGACACGAGTCACATTATTTCTTATTTATTCAAAAAGAGCACATTGACTTTTATTTTGGAAAAGTAGGGTCACTTAGTTACTAAAATGCATGTTTGTTATTTGAAGACCTTTTTCAAATGTACCTATTGACCTCCATTTATTCTTGTATGATATTAACGTCTTTATTTTCTACAATTTAACTTTCCTTAATCCTTTAAAATTTGACAAACCAGAGAATATTAGTCCATCTGCAGCTGTTGACTTTGACTGTGTGGTTTAGGTCAATGGTGGATAAACAAGGTTACTGAAAATGTTCAAATCATGGAAGTCAATGGTTCAACGAAGAGGATGAGACTGAATCTTCAGGATTCAGGACAGTGAAACTGAAATTAAATCAAACTCTGAACAAACTTTAATTTAGTTTATTAACTAAATTAAAGTTAAATAGTAGAAAATAAAGATGTTAATATCGCACAACAATAGATGGAGGTCAATGGAAGCGAACACACACAGTTTACTGTACATTGTGAGAGCTGAAAAAACAACGATGGCGAGGTCCCAGTACGGGTTCATTTGGACCAGAACTCTGAGATCTAACGAGCGTTTAATGATAATTATTATAATTATTTTTTTTACTATTGACATCCATTCAGTCAAACTGGTCCCAACAGATTTTCTGCTCATTTACTGAACATCACGGATCATCAGACAGACTCGTGTTCATGAGGCTGAACCGCCGCCGCCGCACTGTCAACAACACACCTGCACACGCAGATACTAAACACACACATGAACACACACACATGAACACACACATAAACACACACACACATAAACACACACACACATAAACACACGCACACATAAACACACACACACATAAACACACTCCCACTGACACTCTCGAGGCCAATCCTGCAGATTTCGACGCTCTACAAGTGGAATTTTTCCTGCATATGCACTCGGAGTGCGTGTTTGAAACCCCACGGCGGCGGCGCCCTGAGAGGTCTGGCTCTGAGTCAGGACCCCGAAGGCGACTCCATCGAGGCCTCGTACCCCCCAGCATGCGTGGCAGCAAAAGTGTGTGTGGAAGCATGTGTCTACAAACACGCAATAGCTCGAATTTCAGTGTGTGTGTGTGTGTGTGTGTGTGTGTGTTTGTGTGTGTGTGTGTGTGTGTGTTTGTGTGTGTGTGTGTGTGTGTGTTTCAGGCCATCATTTATCCCTGATTGGGACGAAGGCGGCGGCAGCGGGGCTGAATTTGCGCCCATAAAGACCCGGAGACGGCGTTTCCTCTCATGAATATCAAAGAGCGGAGGAATTACTGCCCTATTATTTTATTTGCATTACCTGTAATAGGCGCCATATTGGGGCGCCGTATTTATGGCCTTATCAGAGCGCGCTCCGCTGTAAACATCAGCTGATTTATTCGCCAGTCGGGCTTTGCCCAAACATGGCGCCGTAATGACTCCGCAAACAGAGCAAAGACGGAATCCGCAGTTTTCCCGTTTGTCGTGGCTTTGGCGATGGATTGACCGGACTTAGCGGGCGGCTTTGCTGCTGCAGATGGAGGATCTTAGAGGCTCGATTCTCTCACCCCCCCCCCCCCCCCTCGCTGCTGCTGGCTGGGGCCCAGACGGGGGCCGGGGGCCGCTCGCCGCTCTGGGCTCGACAGGGAATCAGAGAATGGTTGTTATTTGTACAGGGATGTGGTTAGTGTTGTTTTTTCTCTCTCTCTCTCTCTACCTGAGCGCTCGCTTCCATCCAATTATGTTGTTTGTCTTCTCAAAGGCCTCCGTACCTCAAAGTTAGATAGAACTGGATCCATTAAGTTGGCGAAACGAGCGAGGGGGGAAACACGGGAGGGTTACCCGAGATGCGCCCGTTCCTCTGTTATCCAATTTTACTGGGATTTGGAGTGATTTGCGCCCGGCTCCCCGAGGGAAATAAATACTTTGATTAATGTAATCCTGGGCAGGGGGGGCCGCAAACCCCCCCAACACCGCCGCCGCCACCCCCCCCCGTATCCTCGGGGAACGCCACTGTTTAACAAACAAAAACAGAAACGGACGGACGGATGGACGGATGGCGTGGAGACGTGCTCAGTGGCGGCTGCTGCTGCTGCTGCGCGAGTGTCAGTTTATTTATTAATGACGACTTAATAAGAGAATATCAGTTTTAATTAGAAAGAGAGAGGAGCAGCGGGTTTACATCAACTCTAATAACTGTTTGTTTGGAGGAGGAGGAGGAGGAGGAGGAGAGAGAGGAGGTGGTGGAGGAGAGAGAGGAGGTCCACGCTGCTGTGTTTTAAATCTGCGTGTTTGTGTGTGAGGAGTAAAGGGGGGAGGGGCGATGAAGGGTGGAGGTGGTGGTGGTGGGGGGGTAGCTGAAGCTTCACGCTGACAGGTGACCCCCCCCCCACCCCTTCATCTTCTCTCTGCAGATCTGTCGTCACTCTCCTGTGTGTGTGTGTGTGTGTGTGTGTGTAAATGTGTGTATTTTAAAAACTGAAACTTTAGACTGAAAATGATCTGATGTGAGTTTTATTTTGAAAGTACGGTGACCTGTTTCTGCCCCTAAACGAAAACTTTTAACAGTTTTTAATTTATTTAAACAATTAAATATTTTCTTAAATACTTTAAATATTATTTTAAATATTTAGATTTTATTTTAGAATATCAAATATTATTTCCAATGATTTAGATATTATTTTAAACCATTAAATATAGTTTTAAATAATTTTATTTTATTATAAATAATTAAAATCTTATTTTAAATTGTTTTTTTTTTCATTTATCTTTATTTAAATCCACACAGCTGAACTCCACTCCGAGCTTTTATTTTGTTAGATCTCTCTCTCTCTCTTGATTCGGAGCTCACTCTGACTCTCCTCTGACTCTCCTGCTGAATGAAGGTTGGTCCTAAAGTCCTGTGATCATACGTGTGGTTCTGACCCGGGTTCCGGTCCGTTTACCTGTTTTATAAAAATCCAAATATATTTGTCATAAAATCATCTGCTGATAAAAACTGACTCCACTCTCATCTTGTTGTTTTAGGCCAAATTCAGATATTGATTTTTGATCCATAATCAATAAGATCAGCTCTGATAACCCTCCACATGTCAGCCCATTTGCATGCTGGGTAATAGAGGCCAATTACAGAGTCCATATCTGACTTTTATTCATATTAATAAAGTGTGTGTGTGTGTGTGTGTGTGTGTGTGTGTGTGTGTGTGTGTGTGTGTGTGTGTGTGTGTGTGTGCTCATGTCATTAACCTCACACACACACACACACACACATTATGATTCGGAGATCAGACTTAGACTCGGCTTTACATCGACGTTTGGACCCACGTGCGCGCGCACTTAACGTATGTCGACTCGGATCAGCGGCTGGACCCAAAAGGGGGAGGAAGGGGGGAGGGAGGGAGGGGGAGAAAATAAATTATAAAGGCCCATCGGCAACTTCAGCAGAGGCGTAATTAAAACGAATTTAACACACACACACGCGCGCGCACACACAGACACACACACACACCTTCAGAGCTGACATCCATCTGCACGTCAGGTGTCATAAATCCATGAATCAAAGTGATGAGAGCGTGAGGGGGAGGCTTTATGGGGGAGAGAGGAGGGGAGGGAAGGAGAGAAGGAGGCTTTTCTCCTCCTCTAAGAGTCTCAATTTAATGGAAACCCGCATAAACCCGCATACTTTCTGATCCTTTCTAGAGTCTGTTTAGGGTTTGTAAACACGCACCTCCTCTTCTCCTCCCGCAGGACTCAATAAACGGCCTCCTGCTCCTCCTGCTGCTTCCAGGGAGAAAACGGAGCAGGTCCAGGAGGAGGAGGAGGAGGAGGAGAAACGGTGAGGAGCTGCAGAACTAATCCCACCAGATCTGCCTGTCACGTGATTGGCTGATCGATAGAAGAAGAATGATCCTGCGCGAGGAATCAAATCTGTTTCTATCAGTTAAGGAGAATCTGCTTCATTAACTCCAGAGTATAGACGGAGCCCAGGAGTCCGTCTATGATCTGATCTCTTCATCCTCCTGTCGTTGGAGGCCTCTAAATTTACGGAATGAACCTTTAAAGTCAGTTTAAGGAGGTCCTAAAAGGCGCAAAAGAAACGACGAAGTCACGCAGAAAAACAGGAATTTAGCGGTAAAATAAGGAGAGTTGAGATGAATTTTAGAGGATTTTAGGTTTTTACGGGCCGAGTGAGAGCGACACCTGCCGGTTATTATGACTGATCTGATTAATTTTATGATGAAAATGAAGAAAATGTGAATTTGGTTTGAAGAGGATTTAAAAATTAAATGTTTTATGACTTTAAGTGAAGCTGAGAGTTAAATTTCTCCTCCTCTCCTCCTCCTCCTCCTTCTTCTTCTTTTTCTGTTTTTTAGTTTTTATTTTTATTTTTAGTTTTTTTTTAGTGAACTCTCCTTTCTCGGATTTAAACCTCAGGTCTGTCTTTTGCTCTCCTCCTCCTCCTCCTCCTCCTCCTCCTGGTTTTCCTTCTTCTTCTTCTTCATCTCGACTCCAGTGCACAAACATACAGCTTTAATGCGCCCAGTGTTTCCCTCTTTTATGGCTCACCATGGAGACGGAGCGCAGCGCTCAGTAATGCGCTGCTGCTTCATTCAGGGGAGAGGAGTTAACCCGTGAGAAAGGAGACCGAAAACCAGCCCGGACCCGGGTTAATGTGTGATAGATCCACGGAGGTGGACTCTCAGGACCTGCAGAAACCTGAGATGGATGGATGAGTGGATGATGAGTGGATGATGAGTGGATGATGAGTGGATGAGTGGATGAGTTCAGGACCTCGAAGCTGGCGCGTAAACTTTAAACAAACTTTCCAGATCGATATTTGTTTGAAATGATTTCATATCACACCTTCCTACGCGGTCCCTCTGGAGGATCCTCTCTCTCTCTCTCTCTCCCCCTCTCTCGCTCTCCCTCTCTCGCTCTCTCTCTCCCCCTCTCTCTCTCTCTCTCTCTGGCTGCTTAAATCGTGATTGATTGCACTTTTCTTCGGTGGACATTCACTACAAAACAGCTCAGCTCATCCATCTGCGCGCTAAAAAAAACAGACGCGCGGCGCGATATTGATTCTGACGCAGAAAAAAAGAGGAAAGAAAGAGTCCGAGTTTAAAGTGAGAGTTACAGAGAAGAAGAGAGAGAGTGAAGGAGCAGAAAAATCCTAGTTTAGAGACAGACATGTCGGAGGAGGAGGAGGAGGAGGACTTACCTTCAGTCCGTGAAAAAGGAGGAAATCCTGGTGACTTCGTGGAGGAGCAGCAGCGTGGTAACGCTCCCGTCCGTGTCCGTGGACCGACTCCTCTGCTCCCGAAGATTTTCTCCTTCCCTCCGCCTCGACTGAGCTGCAGCCCTCCTCGGCTCGCGCTATTATTTTCACTAAAATATATGAAAATTTATGCAAATGAAAATCAGCACTAACTGTTCGGCTCTTGTTGTACTTGGGGATGATTTTTTTTCCTCCTCCTCCTCCTCCTCTCCCCCCTTCTCTCCTTCTCTCCTTCTTCTTTCTTTCTTTTTTTCCTCTTACAGAATAAATGACCCCCCCCCCCCAGCAGGAACTTTGGACCTTTTTTTATGAAGAACAAATAAATAATAAACATCATATATCAGAGTGTGTGTGTCTGTGTGTGTTTCTCCTCTTCTTTAAGACTTTGATTTCTTCTTTTTTTGGTGTTTTCTCTCTCTCTCTCTCTGTTTCTCTCTCTCTCCCTCCCTCTCTCTCAAATCCTCACTGTATATTAATGAATGGAGGGCCCCCAGCCTCCCTATTCACTGTAAACAAATCCACGAGGCTCCATGAGAGAGGAGCTGGGACACACACACACACACACACACACATACACAGAGGAGGTGTGTGTGTGCGTGGGTGTGTGTGTGTGTGTGTGTGTCATCTCTGAGCTGCTGTTGGGGGTCACCGCTCGACATGCCGCTCTCTCACCTTCAACACTTTAATCCGGTCAGAGACACACCTGCTGACGGATCCGGATTATCTGCTGCTGCTGGACTCAACAGGCTGCAGCCCCTCAGCTGGTCTACAGGGACCAGGATCTGCAGAGTCCAGACAAAGGCCCCGTTCATGTTCGGATGTGGTCATCTGAAGGGAGGAACTGGCAGAGTCTCTGCAGACTGAACATCCACACACACACAGATCCACTCAGAGCTCTGCAACAACACGCACGAGCTGTGGTCCGGCTCAGGGTCCAGGGTCCAGGGTCCAGGTCCAGGGTTCAGGTTCAGGGTTTGATTTTCTGCTTTAATTTGTTCTTAAATATTTAATTTAAGGAGAAAAAAATCAGTTTTAAAATAAAACAGAAGAATAAAAAAACAAGTCTTCTGTTTTTACTTTTGCTGCTGAAACTGGAATAAAAACTAGAAAAGCTCCAAATTTAAGAAGAACACAGAAGTCAAACATCCTCTCTCATTAAACCATCCGAGTCCAGCTGTCAGGCTCAGGTTCTGATGATCCAAAGGTTTCATATTTGAGTTTCCTTCACCATCACTCTCCCTGTCCTCAACATATCTGATGTTTTCTACATGTGCAGGTTTTGGAAACACTCTCCTGAGCCTTGAAAAAGACCTGGAAACAGTCCTGGAAATGTGTTTTTATGGGGAAAAAGTCCTGGAAATTCAAAAGTTTTCAGCATCTAAAAATTTGGAGAAAATTTCTTTATAGTTTGAAATAATTTTTAATAATCAGAGGAACTTAAACACCAGAAAATAAAGACTTAAAATTCAATAAATTATTTAACTTTAATTTTTTATTTTTCAAAAGAGACTAATTTTAAAACCAGTAAATAAAGAGTTAAAATTAAATATGTACATTTATTTTAGTTATTTTATTTATTTTTTAAAAATAAGAGTAATTTTAAAACCAGTAATAATGAGTTAAAATTAAATAATTCTTTTAAAGATAAATAAATTTATAAATTATTTGGTAAATTTATTTTTAAGAAAAGTACACAACCAATAAAAGCAGTAAATAAAGAGTTAAATTAAATATATTTTAATTGATTTTACAAAAATGAATTACAAAAAAATTAGAAAAATAAAAAAAATATTTTTTAATTAAAAAATAAAAATTAAAAAAAATGTTTTTATTTTATTTTAATTAAAAACAAACAAATAAATAACAATAGTAAACTCTCTCTCTCTCTCTCTCTCTCTCTCTCTCTCTCCCTCTCTCCCTCTCTCTCTCTCTCTCTCTCTCTGCCGGTGTCCAGAGGTCACTCTGCCCCCCCTCACCTGTTTCCACTCTCGTGTCTCCGCGTGTTTTTACCACCGAGCTCCTCTTCCCGTTTTTGTTTGGACTGCAATTAAAAATCAGCCAATCGGAACAGCCGGAAGGAGGGCTCGTGCTCCCCGGAGCAAAAGGGGGCTGCAGAGAAGCTGCCAATCAGAGCCGCGGGTTAGCCAATGAGCGCGGACGCACACGGGTGTAAACATCCGTGCGTAAAAAGAGAGAGACGAGGGGGGCGGAGCCACGCGGGTCCTGTCAGGGAGAGAGAGAGAGAGAGAGAGAGAGAGAGAGCGAATGAGAGGAGAGGAGAGGCTCGCGAGCAGCGCCGTGCACAGTTAGACCGGGACTGTACTTGAACGGGAGTTTGTGGTTTGTCAGGTTTATAGACATCAAAACAGAACAAAGAGAAGAAGAAGAAGAAGAAGAGAGAGAAAAGAGAGAGAGAAAAGAGAGAGAGAAAAGAGAGAGAGGTCTGACTAAAGACAGAGGAGGACTCTCCGCTCCGGCTCAGACCGGGACTCAGACCGGGACTCAGACCGGGACTCTGGACTTTGTGGACTCATCTGAACCGTTTTTGTTGGTAAACTTTGTTCGGGGGGAGCGCGCGCGGTTTTTCCGGTGTTTTAAATTTTAATGCGCCAAAAGTTTCCGGCCGGACTGCAGATGGTTCCTGAAGTCTTCAGAGAAAAACGGGATTTAATCCAGACTAGAATGTTGTAAATCCGGACGGATCTGATTTCAGGTTTTTTTTTTTCTTTTCCTTTTTTTTTTTTTTTTTTTTTGGTGCGTTTTTACGCGCACGGCCGAGCGCACGAGCTCTCCATAGTTTGTAAAGTTTGAATAATTCATGAGAAGAGCCGGTTCGTCTCCACACAAGTGAGTGTCAAAGAAGGGAGGGGGGTTATCCACGAACATACTCGGAGGGGCTGACGGAATGGCCACCGCCGCTTCCAACCCTTATCTGCCCACCAACAGCATCCTGTCGTCCGGATCCATCGTGCACTCTGACTCCGGGGGAGGAGGCGGCGGCATGCAGCCGGGCGGCGCTGCGGTTACCTCGGGCTCCGGGGGCTACAGGGGAGACCCCACGGTTAAGATGGTGCAGAGTGACTTTATGCAAGGCGCCATGGCAGCGAGCAACGGGGGCCACATGCTGAGCCATGCCCACCAGTGGGTGACTTCGCTGCCGCACGCCGCAGCTGCGGCAGCGGCGGCCGCGGTGGCCGCAGCCGAAGCCGGATCTCCGTGGTCGTCGAGTCCCGTCGGGATGACGGGCAGCCCCCAGCAGCAGGACGTGAAAAGCTCCGGCAGAGACGATCTGCACACGGGCACCGCGCTGCACCACAGACCCCCTCACTTAGCCCCCCACCAGACTCACGCCGGGGCTTGGGGGAGCACGACAGCCGCGCACATCAACTCCATCTCCGCGGGGCAGCAGCAGCAGCAGTCGCTCATCTACTCCCAGCCGGGGGGGTTCACTGTGAACGGGATGCTGAGTCCGGGGAGCCAGAGCCTGGTGCACCCGGGCTTGGTGAGGGGGGACACCCCGGACCTGGACCACGGCAGCCACCATCACCACCATCACCACCAGCACCCGCACCACCAGCACCCGCACGTCAACAGCCACGACCCGCACTCGGACGACGACACGCCGACCTCGGACGACCTGGAGCAGTTCGCCAAGCAGTTCAAGCAGCGGAGGATCAAGCTGGGCTTCACGCAGGCGGACGTGGGCCTGGCTCTGGGGACCCTGTACGGGAACGTTTTCTCTCAGACCACCATCTGCAGGTTCGAGGCTCTGCAGCTCAGCTTCAAGAACATGTGCAAGCTCAAACCTCTGCTGAACAAGTGGCTGGAGGAGGCCGACTCTTCCACCGGCAGCCCGACCAGCATCGACAAGATCGCGGCGCAGGGGAGGAAGCGGAAGAAGCGCACGTCCATCGAGGTGAGCGTGAAGGGGGCCCTGGAGAGCCACTTCTTAAAATGTCCCAAACCTTCAGCGCAGGAGATCAGCAGCCTGGCGGACAACCTGCAGCTGGAGAAGGAGGTGGTCAGGGTTTGGTTTTGCAATAGGAGACAGAAGGAAAAACGGATGACGCCCCCGGGAGTGGCTCAGACGCCGGAGGATGTGTACTCTCAGGTCGGCAATGTGAGTGCAGAAACACCGCCCCCCTCCATGGACTGCAAACGAATGTTCAGTGAGACATAGAAACAAACAGACAAACAGACAGACAGAAACACAGATTTGATAAGAATTTTAGAGAAACAGACACAGACTATCCTCATTTTTGATACTGTGATGAATATGAGTGAGACTGCAAATGTGTTCATAAACAAAATCTCCTTTTTCCTTCTCCTCCTCCTCCTCCTCCCCACACTGAAAAACAAACAAACACACCTCCCCTTTTTCTTCAGGCCCTCAAAAATGTCTTTTAACCTAAAAGGTTCCTTCTGCTTTTTTCTTTCAGGGGCATTTTTTAGTAGATTACTTAAAAGATGCGAGTGAAGCGAGCGACCAGAGGGTGACAACTCCAAGTTCATTCCACCAGGTAATTTTGGCGCATTAAAACACACCAGAGGAACAAAAACACTCCTGCTCCTCCTCTTCTTCTTCTTTGACTCTTTTTCTCCCCAAACAAAAAAAGAAAAGAAAGAAAGAAAGAAAGAAAGTCCCCCCTTCATTCTGGACAAACAAAGGAGCAGACATTTTGTACATTTAGGACTGAGCCGCCCTCCTTCTTCTTCTTCTCTGAGGAGCAGGACATCCACGACGCTTCCATCCTCACCTGCTCACTTTTTCACCCCTTCACCTGGACTGCATGGTTTCACCCCACAGAACAACAAAAAAACACTCACAGAAAATCACGGAGGATTATTTTTCTCTGGCCCGGTCCTCGGAGTGGATTCTCCCACAAAAAAGAAGAAAAAAAAAAACACTTTCCAGGACTTTTCAAACTGCACTTATTGAGGAGGACACGCACACCGATGTGTTGTCACGTGTGAGTGAGTGTGGATCTGCTGCCCTTTCTAAGCAGACTTCTTTGGTAGGTTTTAATAAAACAACAAAAAACAACAAAAACACAAACTCTGTTTAAAGCCGGCAATACAGATCACCGATCAGGACGTGATCGGAGATGATCGGAAACTGATCGGAACGATTTACTTTATATTTTTCATCAGAATTTCTTCTTTTTCATATTTTATTGGGAATACCTATGAATTATTCCAAACAGTAATTTATTTCCCCTCCTTCTCCTCCTCCTTCTCCTCCTTGTGTAAGACGCCTCTCCCCTTTTTTAAATTCTCTTTCTTTTGAATATTTTCTTCTTTATTTCGGTTCATTTTTTTGTATTTCTAAAAAGGAGCACAAATCATCATCCAGCTGACCGTTGTTCTAGGTAAATAAGGGTACATTTTTGATGTGATCATTTGATTGTAATTTAATTTCAAGTAGTGGTTCCGTACGAGCTGATTGAGACACAATAAATTTGTTAGAATGAAACGAAAGCCACTCTGTGTTTTTCAGCTGTTGTCGGGGTGAAAATCGGTGCTTTTATTTTGGAGATTTCTGCAGAAAGCGGAGGTAGAAAATGGTGGAGAATTCTTCCCCAGATGAAGAACAAAAGAGTCTTTGAGGCTGAAAAAGACGCGAGAAAAGAGTTTTATTCTGAAATTTAAAACAGATAAATGAGCGTTTACAAAATAAAAGCTTTGGAGGTCGGAGTGCAGCAGCAGCGTGTGTGCGCGCGTGTGTGTGTGTGTGTATGTGTGTGTGTGTGAGGCCCAAACAGCAGAGAAACCACAGGTCTGTCCTACGGAAGCCTAAAAAGGACAGATTTATTAGGAATAGATGTTTATATTTGTGTCACAGAGGCGTCCATGTTGTTGTTGTGCAGCTCGGCCCGTGTTTGTGTGTCAGTGTGTGTTTCTCTGTGTGTGTGTTATGTAATGTTTAGGTTGCAGCTCGCGCACACACTCGTTATTTGCGCCTGATTAATGCACCAAAAGCTCTAATCTGCTCGAGAATTGATTCTCTGTTTTCACTCCGATCATAATAAAAAAAACTGGAGCTCTTTAAAAATTCAAGCACGCAGGCGCACTGCAGCTCTGACAGGTGTACGTGCAGGTATAGAGAGGGGGGGTCACGCTCAGGTGTAGAGGGGTGACTGAGTTTATAGAGGATCTATTTTTTAAAGTTTTTCTGTTTCCTTTAAAAATCGGAGTCGGGGGTCGGATCTATCTTCCGTCTCGGCTTGAAGAGGCCGACCTTCTCCCCCCGAAAACTTTCTTTTCTCTTTTGCCTATTCAGCAAAACTCAACTAAACGTGTCCTCGCGCTGCAGGAATTTGAATTTCGCGGATGATTTCCCGTACTAGTTGCTTAGCAACTGAATTGAATGATATAGAGGAGTGGGCATCAATTTTTCTTTGTCTCCAAGAGTAAAAGTGTCAGCTCAGACTCAGACCTCAAACTTCAGACTTTTATTTATTACATTTATTTGATTAAAGTGTTTTTATGTGTTGAGAGTTTTTTTTTTCAGCCTCAAACTGGAATATTTGCTCGTTTTATCCGCGCGCACTTTTACGCACGGCCTCATTACGCATGCAGCCCCCGTAAATCCAAGTCCAAGTCCCATGACGAGCTCGGATAAACCCTCCAGAACAAGGTCTTGAGCAGAGAGAGGAACACTGAGAAGAACTTCAGCAGAAAAAAAGATGAAAAATAAAATAAAAAACAGATTTTTTTTTCTCTCTAAAGCGAAACAAAAAGAGTTTCAGTCTCAGTCTCAGGTTTTGGTTCGACTGTTCTGCTGCAGCTTCTTCATGCTTCTCCAGACTCAGTGTGTGTGTGTGTGTGTGTGTGTGTGTGTGTGTGTGTGTAAATGTTCAGGCCTCAGGAGTAACCTGTTTTTTCTAAGCCTCGTTTTTACGCCTTAAATCTGTTGAAGTTTTTAGTTTGGTCCCGTAAAAATCCACGTGCATCACGTTATTTGTTGGTAAAAATTTCTCGTTAATTCCAAAGAGGCGGAAACATGGATTAATAATCTGGTTAGAAATAAACGGAGGGGTTATTTTCTAAAAAAAAAAAAAAAAAAAGAATGCATTAAATGACACAGAAATGTGTGTCACGTTTTTACACATATTTGTCGTTAAAATCACATATGACCGTTTTTTTGTATTTTTCAGACACATTATAATTCTATTTCTACGTTAAAGTGACTCCAATCCGATCATTTCGACTCTAATCTCCTCTAAAATATCCTGTTTTAGTTTTTTTATTGGCTGTCAGATTAAACACACACTCCGTTTTTTAGGCATATTTGTTCTTTCTGTCGTTAAAATCACATGTTACCGTTTAGTGGATTTTTCAGACTGACTTTTATTCTGTTTGTTCGTTAAAATGATCGGTTCTGCTATAATCGCCTCTAAAATATCGTGTTTTTTATCGGCTGTCATATTAAACTCTCTCCGTTTTTAGCTGCAGTTACAGAGTGTCAGGCTCCGTCTATAACCTGGAGCTTAAACGCACACACACACACACACGCATACATAGACAGATCCTCCTCATACTGTATTTACTCCACGTGTGGAGTGAGCGCATGAATATGGATCAGAGTGCGCTGCTCTCCACAGGGAGTCTTCCTCCTCTTCCTCTTCCTCCTCTTCTTCCTCTTCGTCCTGGTGGATTAATGTGCTGCTCTCTCTCTCTCTGTTTATCGTCGTTGTTTCTTCACTTTATCTCTCTTTTTTTTACTCCTTTATTCGTGTTTTTATGGAGGAATCTCCTGAGTGATCTGGGAGCCGAGCAGAGAAATGTGTTTTAAACTTGTTCACGTTTTTCTATTTTACTAAAGTGTCAAAAATTACAGCCGAGAAATTGTCAAAATTATCGTTTTAATTAATTCATCTGTTTGTTTCTTAGATTTGACCTCTCAGTTGTTATTTTCTTCAGGGTTCGAGCCTCACTAAGATGTTTCACACGAGTCTCCAAACGGTGTGAAAAAACTATTATCTCTATTCAAATAAATAAAACTGTTATTATTTTATTAGTATTAGTTTTATTATCCTATTATTGTGCAGAAAAACATAAGATATAATATAATTTAAAAATTTTAAAATGATTGAGTTTAATAATTATAAAGTTTAACAACCGTCAAGTCTGATAATACTGGTGCAGTTTGATAATAATATTAACATAATTCTATTATTAAAAATAAATACAAAATTATTAAAAAATTATAACAGTAAATACAAAATAATAAAAAAAATTATAACAGTAAATACAAAATAATTAAAAAATTATAACAGTAAATAAATAATAATTAAAAAAATATATAACAATAGCCTCACGTGTAAATCTGTACTTCTGTTCACAGATGCAGAAAAAAAAAACTGGTAGAAGAAGAAAACTGTAGTTTTTCTGGTCTTAAATGACAGTCCGGGTTTCCTCTGTGAGCAGCTGGATGGAGAGGAAGAGGAGGGTGGAGGAAGAGGAGGGTGGAGGACCGTACAGTATGAAGATAAAGTTCTTCTCTAAACGCCTCCAGGAGGAATTAACTCACATATAGACGACAAAAAAAAAACATGTTTTTATTCCATAAAATCAGTTCAGGAGTTTAATTTTTGTGACTAAATTTAACATTTTCTTGTTAAACCTCAGAGACATCCACCCTAACCTCCTCAGAGACATCCACCCTAACCTCCTCAGAGACATCCACCCGAACCTCCACAGAGACATCCACCCGAACGTCCACAGAGACATCCACCCTAACCTCCACAGAGACATCCACCCGAACCTCCACAGAGACATCCACCCTAACCTCCATCGATCTGTTTATAACCTCATATTTACATTAAAAAATGACCTTTTATTGACATCAGATTTGCTTCTGTAACAGCTGTTCATATTCTAATTTTATCTGCATCAAATCCTGAAACTGTTTTGCTGTTAAAGTCGGAGAATCTCAGTTAAATATTCATGTATAAACTCACTTTATTATTTTCTTTATAAAGACTCTAAATATAAAAACTCGGTCTGTCTTGTATTTTAAAAAATCACATTTCCTCTCCTTTAATTCCCTTTAGCGGTCACTCTAATGAACTCTCACCCGTTAGTGGTGTTCAGTTAAATGTTATATAATCTAATTAATGAAATTATTCACAGGAGCAGCTTCATTAATGTGTAAATATACATGTATTAATATCTTGGTTTGCAGACACACTTCTCTAGGCTGTAAACGTCGTGTTACTGCTCTCCTGGTTAAACTGGATTTAGTCGCGTTGTTCTGAACAGTTTAATGAGAATAAAGTTCAATCTGATCTCATTTAAATCTACACTGACAAACACAGATGAAGAAGATTTTAGTTTCACCTCACTGTCCCTGAAATATATTTAAGGAGAAGATTTTATTTCCTGTGACGTTAAATAATCATAAATAATATAAAGACAGGAGAGTTTTGGCTTCAATCTCATGATATTCTCCTTTTCCTCCATTTTACTGAGTTTCAGAAATAATCCTGGTTTAGTCTCTGCAGCAGCAGCAGCAGGTCAGTCCGCTCACACACACACTCACACACACTCTCCTGGATTAAAACAGCATTAGGGAATCAGGTGTGTGTGTGTGTGTGTGTGTGTGAGAGTGTGTGCAGCTCTGAGTCTCAGTCACTTCCTCTCCAGTATTTAAATCTACATTTGTCTCTAATCTGCTCCAGCGTCTGAGAGACTCTGAGGAGTGAAATCGTCTCTCCTCTCGTGTTTTTGAGTTTCAGAGAAACAGGAGAGTAAATATCAGGTCAGAGGAAAATTAAAAAAAAGGTTAAATGTAGAAAAATCACCTCTGAGGTTGATTTTCACTCAGCAAACAGAGAACCACCGCTCTGCTCTGCAGCTTCTCTGCAGCTTCTCTGACCTTACAGCGCCTCCCTGTGGCCGTCTGAGCCATCAACCCAACACTGCTGTCACTCCTCACTTTTAATGAGTTTGACATTTCAAATCATTTCAAATAAAGTTTTTTTTGTCTCCTTATTTATATTTCTGTGATTTAACCCTAGAAGACGATCGCAGGGTGATTTTCAGAGAAACAAAAATACGACAAAAACTGACGACAGAGACACAAAAACAACAAAAAAAAAAACAACTACAGAGAAACACAAAAACAAAAACTAATGATGGAGCGACAAAAACGACAAAAAATACGACAAAAACTCCCTTTGGACACTAAACAGTTAAAAATAAAAGAAAACGACTTTAATTTTTCACGTTCGGCCCTATTTTGATAAATTTGGATGACCAGGAGTTTTTCTTGGGTTTATTATTTCAGTTAAAATCACCAGATAGTGATGGTGTTACTAATTTAAACAATCGTGTTTTAGGATTAATGAGTTTGATATTTGAGATGATAAAAGTTCTTTTGTCTTTTTATTTATATTTCTGTAAATTTAAAGTCCTGAAGGTCACAGACGTCCCTCTTCATGAAGAACTGAATCAGGTGTTTGGACTCTAACTGAGGAGTGAAGGTTCGACTCTTGGATCTGAGATGAGTGACGCGTCATCCTGCTGAGGTCGCAGGGAAAATAAGAGCTGTGTGTGTTTTTGGGGATTTTTATCACCGCACTGATCGTCACGAAACGAGGCTCAGAGAGGAGGAACAGACAGGTCAAAGGTCAAACACGGGTTAACAATGACACTGAACGAGACGGTGAGACTCACAAGGAGAGGAAACGAGGGTGATGGGAGACAGGTGGGACGAACCCGGGGGCGGGGCAGACCGGACAGGAACGAACCTAGAAGACAGAAACAAACAAAAAAAAGGTTAAAAAAATTTTAAATAAAAACTTTATAAATTATTTTAAAAAATGTAAAAAAAATAAAATATATATTAAAAAAAGAAGAAAGAAACAAACAAAAAAAATGGAATAAATAAATAATAAGTAAATAAATGTAAAAAACATTAAAACATTTTAAAAATTAAATAAGTTTGTGTTTTAAAATAGAAGACAGAAACAAAATAAATAAATAAATAAATAATATAAATAAAATTTAATAAATTAATTAAATTTAAAAAGTACAAAAATTAAAACAAATATATTTTTAAAAAAAGAAGACAGACACAAGGGTTAGAGATCTTTCAAAATAAAACAGGAAGGACATAAATGTATCAAAATAAAGGAAACTTAAATAACATGAATAAACAGAAGTCAAAGAAAACTTTAAATCCTGTTTGGTAGAAATAAAAGTTTGTGTTCGATGATTTCAGACGGTGATTTTAATCTTTTTTATGTCGATCTGATCAGATTTTCACCTGCTCTGATCAATAAACTCGTATTGATTATAAACTTTTGTTTTTTATCCTGTTGATCAATAAAGTTTTCGTTCGTTTCTCTGACTGTCGTTGATGTTTGTTTATCGACTCTCCGCTCAGGTAAAGGTGAGTCCGTCAGGAGGGGGAGGAGTCAGGTAAATCTGTGAACGACGCCGAGCGTGACGACGGCGATATAGATATAAAATATCATAGACCACCGTAGGTGTGAGGATCTATGAGGAAACTCAGGTAAACTCCGCCTGGACTCACCTGTGCAGGTTTATAGATGTTCACACGTAGATGTTCAAACTGTCGCACTTTTCAAGCCCTGAACTCTCATGACCTCTGACCTCTGAGGTCACCTGGACCCTGAAAGGACTCGGTTCTAGATCTACAGATGTATAGATGTACGATGTATAGATGTAAGATGCATAGATGTATGATGTATAAATATATGATGTATACTTGTATGATGTATGAATGTACAACGTTTAGATGTATATATGCATAGATCTACAGATGTATAGATGTCTAGACAGGTAGATCTTTAGATGTATAGATGTACAGCTGTATAGGTGTATAGATATAAAGGTGTATAGATGTAGAACTAGATTCCCTCAGGACCTGCATGTGTTCCTACAGTTGTCTTGTCGCTCAGTGAAAGTATGATGTCAAACTTCTCGGTTGTTACCCATAATCCCTCTCAGCTGAGAACCGACCCCCCCTCCCAGCTCCTCCCAGAATCCAGCTGAGCGCCTGGCGGCTCGCAGCGTGAGCTCGGTGGCGGTTTCCAAAGCTCGGTGTCAGAAAGCTGGTCAGCGTTTCAAAGGAGTGGAGAAGGAGCCAATAACCGCTGTTTGTGCTGGCGTACGGAGAGAGGGATTCAGCGAGGGCGCCAAGTGACGACGGGGTAACCTCAAAAAGAAGAAGAAGAAGGAAAGAAGGATCAGGTTCTGGAACTTTCTGTCTTTACCAGCAGATGTTTGAGTGGGCGTTTGATTTAAAGGGACATGACACCATTTACTGACTGTAGACATATGACCTGACAGACTCTCTGCTTGTCAGTTTCTTTAACAAAGAGACTAAACACAACTCACCTACTCTCTTCCAGCAGACGCTTGTTTGTAGAGAGACCTCAGGCCAGTCCATTATGGACTACAGCGGGGTGCCGCAGCTCAAGGAAGAACATTTATGATCATTTCTTTATCATTTCCTTGAAGTAATAATCACCATATTAATCATTTTACAGACGCGGTAGTTCTTCTGTCTTAGCGTCTCTGATTGTATTTCCATGAATGATGTATAGATGTACAGATGTATAGATGTACAGATGTATAGATGTACAGATGTATAGATGTACAGATGTATAGATGTTTTTATGTATAAAGGTATAGATGTATAGATGTTCAGATGTATAGATGTACGATGTATAGATGTATAGATGTTCAGATGTATAGATGTACAGATGTATAGATGTACAGATGTATAGATGTTTTTATGTATAAAGGTATAGATGTATAGATGTACAGATGTATAGATGTACGATGTATAGATGTATAGATGTACGATGTATAGATGTACAGATGTATAGATGATAGATATATAGATGTATAGATGTACGATGTATAGATGTTTAAATGTACGTATATAGATATACAGATGTATAGATGTACGATGTATAGATGTATAGATGTACGATGTATAGATGTATAGATGTTTAAATGTACCGTATATAGATATACAGATGTATAGATGTATAGATGTTCAGATGTATAGATGTACGATGTATAGATGTATAGATGTTTAAATGTACCGTATATAGATATACAGATGTATAGATGTACAAATGTATAGATGTATAGATGTACGATGTATAGATGTACAGATGTATAGATTTTCAATGTGTAGATGATAGATATATAGATGTATAGATGTACATTTGCATAAATGTTTGATGTATATCATAAATGTTCTTCCTTGAGCTGCGTCACCCCGCTGTAGTCCCTATTGGACTGGCCTGAGGTCTCACTGTGACCCTATATGTCCTGTTGATGAAGTTAGGTGCTGTTCTGAGCATTATTTGTGTCTATAGAGTGGCGTTTTGGTTGGGGGCGTGGCTCTCTGTATTTCTATCCTGCGGTCGTTACTAAAGTTGGTATAACTAGAGAAGTAAGTGGTCGACAACATTCATCTCTGGAGGGGGGCGGGGTCTAACTCGGGGTTACGGTGTGTTTGACCCTAAATTAATTTAACGTCAGAATATCCCTTTAACTCTGAAGAAAACTGCAAACTGTAACTTCATGTGTGTGTGTGTGTGTGTGCGCGTGTGTGTGTGTGTGTTTCTCACCGTGTCCCAGGTGGTGACGGATCTCAGCAGCAGACGGATCGATGGTCGGGGGGGGGTGCAGAGGCAGGGGTCGCTCGGTCCCCAGGGGTCCCCTCGATGACATCTCCCGCCGCAGCTCGCCGGCCGGCCGCCAGCTCGGGTCAGCCGTCCCAGCAGGCCGTTGGCTCTGGCAGCAGTTACCAAGGTGACAGCATGTCAGCGCGGCCCCGCAGCGCCGGCTGAGGGGAGGGGGGGGGCCCGATGCATCACCGGCTCTGATGGGTTTGTCAATACCGCTTAGATCCACGGGGAGCCGGGCCTGAAATGACACACACACACACACACACACACACACACACACACACACACACACACACACACACACACACACACACACAAATAAGGAACAAAGTAAGAATCAACATGTGTCAAATTTTCAGCTTCAATCCAAACGATTAAAAAAAGGGGGGAATAAAAACAAGATAGAAAACAAGATAAATGATCTGTCCATGCAGCAAGATCATTTCACTAAACCAGATTTCTTGAATGAAGATTGTTCAGTCTAGAAATAATCATGTCTACAAATGTATTTGGAAGATTAAAGTCAGACAAACATGCTGGTTTAAGATCAGATGATTAAAATGTCACTTTTCCAGCCCTAAAATCAGTGAAATCGACTAAATCTAATCAATGACATATTTATTTTTCTTCCTTTGATCAAATGAAGCTGAAGATTAGTTCAACCAAAAATAGAAATGTAGAGAGCAGGTTGTTTGATAGAAGATTAAAGTGGAAAGTTAAAGACAAAAAACAGGAGGAATTCACACTTTTAGGGCCTCGTCTTCAGTCTCAGGTTCACCTTAAACACACGATAAACCTCCTCGAGTGTTTCATGTGTTTTTTATCAGCACACACACACTCTCACACACACACACACACACTCTCACACACACACTCACACACTCTCTCACACACTCAGAGCGTTTTGTGGAGCTTTGATTCGCACAAAAACAGAGCGAGTCTCTCCTAAATGAGCGTGAACACACACAGACGTGTCTCTGCCGCTGACAGCATGGATGCATGGATTAAGCTGTCGGTGAGCGAGTGCAGAGGCAGCCTGCAGATAAAACACAGAGAGAGAGAGAGAGAGAGAGAGAGAGGTGAAGGAGGAGAAAGCACGCTCACAGGCCCGTCTGACTCTGTATCTCATTAACCAGAGAGGAAGAGGAAAAGCAGCGAGAGACGAAGCGTTCCTAGAGCCGGGGTTTAATAGATTACCAATGATCAGGTTTTTCCAAGTTAGACATTAGACACAGGTGAGAACATTGACTAATCCAGACCCTTCACTTTCATTCAACAGGGGGGGGGGGTACAGCTGATCCTGGGGGGGGCGCTATCTGAGTCTGGTAAATACAGAAGAAGGAGTGAGGATATTCAGAGAGCGCCTGTGAGTCTTCGAAGGTTTGATATCTGACCAATCCTCTTAGTGAGAGAGAGAGAGAGAGAGAGAGAGAGAGAGAGAGAGAGAGAGAGAGAGAGAGAGAGAGAGAGAGAGAGAGAGAGAGAGAGAGAGAGAGAGAGAGAGAGAGAGAGAGAGAGAGAGAGAGAGAGAGGGAGAGAGAGGGAGAGAGAGAGGGAGAGGGAGAGAGAGAGAGAAAACATCAGGACTGAGGCCTCAGCAGGTCTGTTAGATTACACTGGGTCTCAACTGGTCTCACTCTGGGAGCCACATGAAACTCAAACCAAACAAATTTAATTTTTAGAAAAAAAAAAAACACTTTATAAAATAATATACAATTTTTTTCACTTATGTTTTTATTATGTTATTTTAATTTCTTCTATTTTTATTTTTTATTTAATTTATAATTTTTATCTAAAATTTTAAATAATTTTTTTATTGTTTTTATTTTTAATTTATTTTTAATTTGTTGTTTTTACTGTTGCCCTTAACTGTTTGCACTCTGTGATCTGTTTTCTCAGATGTAAAGCACAATATAAA